CTGGCGGGAGGGACAGCCCCGCGGTTTGCGGACCAGACACCCGAGGGCCGCGCGCCCCTCCCCGCCCGGCTCCAAGCGCCTCCCTCTGCTTTTATGTAAAAAAATAACTGGTTTCCTTCCGCGGCGATTGGGGGCGGGCGCTCCCCAGCCCTCGGTGCAATCGTGGCTCCGCGCCCTCCGCTCTCCAAACCCCGCCCCGGTGCATTAGGTTCCTGCGCAGTTGGTCCTTTTCTAAAACTGAAACCACCCCGGTTGCCATGAGGTCCTCACGGGGAGGAAGAGCCCCCAAGCTCGTGACTCCAGGAGCCCAGAGGTGAGCGGGGGAGAAAAAGGCGTCCAGAGGGCAGCCCAGAGGGGCCTGGAGGCAGGTGGGGGGAGGGGGGGTCGTTTGTAAGAAAACCTCTGAGGCCTCGCGGGGGAGGGGAGCCCCAGCTCGATCCCGGGGAGCGCCCCCAATCCAGAGCCCTAGACCCTCAGGGCCTCCCCCACCCTCCCAGGAGGAGTAGGATTTGCTTTCTCTCGTAAGCAGCCATCTGTGACACGCTGGGCCACACACCTAACAATATTATTGGTGCTGATGTGGTTTTTGGAGTCAGGGGGTTTGGAGTGCGGGGTCCTGGGGTTCACTCTGGGAAAGGTGTCACCAGAGCTCCCGTTTCAGCGGCCCGGGGCGAGTGTCCCAGGTGAGTTTCTCCACGAGACAGACACGGTAGTGATATTTAAAGGGCAGGTTATTAGGGAAAGGGACAGAGGAATAAAGGACACGTGCATGGACACAAGCGGGCGGGAAGAGCTGCCCCAGAAGGGACAGGTTTGCTGAGAGAGGCCTGCCTGGTTGCAGAGGGGTGATCTTGACAGGACACAGGCAGGCAGGAGGCTGCTGCCCTGCGGAGGGAGAGAGTGGGTGAAAACAGACACCTGCATTGTCACCGGTGGGCAGTGGGAGTGTGGAGGGTAAGGTAAAAAGTATCAGGGTTTTCTGCCCTCGCACCATGGGGCTTAATGGTGGATCCCTGTGGCACCTGGAGTAGGGTGTGGGCATATGCAGATGGGATTCACCTGGGCTAAGACTGCGTTTATAAGGGTAGCGTCACGGAGGCGCCAGCAGAAGCAGAGAAGCATAAGGAATAGTAGAGCAGAGAGCAGAACCAGGAGAGGAGCAGAAAACAAGGCCAGGAGAAAATGATGGAGAGCCCAGATAGAGTGAAGACTTGCTGGGGGCTGGGAGGCCGGCCTGCCCGCCTCCCGGCCCCCCAGCACACCTGCCTGCCTTGTAACTGGTGAATCCCAATAAAAGCCTGAAAACCCACTCAGGTCTCCAGGACTCTCCCTCCTTTACCCTGTCTGCACTGCCCATTCCTGCCCCCTACAGATTGCTGCCCCAAGTCTGTGCAGAGACAATACTGATGTAGTCCTTTCTCTTTGGGAGGGCTCACTCCTCCATGGAGTGGCCTGTTTGTTGCTGATTTTGGATAACTAGGCAAGTCTAGAAAGGGACCAGAGAGTCCAGAATGGGCCCATCTCCAGTATTACCATTTTGTAAATATTTTTTTAATTTTATTTTTGCATAGAAGAACTAGGGTGTAGGTCAGAGGTGCGGAAGGTTAGACTATGGACCGGAGACAGAGTGGGCTGCAGAAGAGGTGGATCTACTGAAATGCACTGCTGAGGGGAGCAGGGGGCCAGACAGGAGAGGTCTGCTGAGCCATGTGGGTCAGCTTTCTGGGGGGAGGGGATCAACTCAGGCCCTTGATAGCGTTGAGACTTAAACCCTAGGCCACCAGGGAGAGTTTTAAATTATTACAAGTCTTTTTGGCATTGAGTGTAAGCAGAATGAGAGTTTCCTGGTGCTGCCATCCCTAGGAAATCCTGAAAAGGGGGTGTACACGAGTCACCTTTGGAGGTTAGCAGGGCTGGGCTCCCTCTCCCTCTCTACTGCCTCTGTCCTTGTTATGGCAGTTTTCTTGGAGAAGCCAGACTGTACTCAGAGGTGGGGGAGAGAGATTGATTTATTCATCATGATGGAAGACACGAATAGGAAAAAAAAAAACTGGAAAGGAAGCACCAAGAGACCAGAAACCTGCTCACACAAGGAGGTGGGGGTAGAAGAGAGGAGCATAGCCATTGACACAGCTATGGAAACCGAGATCCTTATAGGCAACACAGTTACAGAAATTAAAATCCTTAGGGGCTCCTTGGACACCCAGATTACAAAGCATAACATCCAAGCAGCCATCCTAATGCGCATCCAGAGGGAAAGATATGGAAATTGAACCCACTGTAGACTCTTGGTCCCTTTCATATTCTGCATAGTTCTCCAAAATCAGCAGCTAAGGGAAGGCTCACAAGGGGTGAGCCCCTCCCAAACAGAAGACTATCAGTGCAGGCTCTGCACTGCCTTGGAGCAGCACTCCCTCTGCCCACCTGTGACTCTGCAGGTGCTTCTTTCACCACCTCTCCTCTGCAGGGCAGCAGCCTCCTGCCTGCCTGTAACCTGTGCCACGCTGGGGCTTCTCACTGACCTCCCTCAGTGGAGGCCGCTCTCCTCAAGGCCGCCTGCCTGCGACCACGCAGGCCTCTTAGCAGCTTTTCCTGCCCACTTGCGTGTAAGCAAGTTGACTTTATTCTTCTGTCCCTTTCCCTAATAAGCCTGTTTTTTAAGTATAACTAACGTCTCTGTCTCCTGGAGAAACTTGCCGCGTGTGGCTGAAACGGGAGCTCTGGTGACACCTTTCCCAGAGTGAACCCAAGGACCCTGCACTCCAAACCCCCTGACTCCAAACACGACAACAGTCACACTGAGGGGTCAGCGGCCAGCACCAATGAAGCCCCCTCCCTCCACCTTCAGGTCTCCCCTTAATCCCTTTGCTCTCCGTGGGGCTGGGGGGGAACACTTTCCCTCCATCTCCTGCACTCTTAGCTTACACCCCTGTGATGAAAGACGGTCACTAGGAAAGCAGGGAGGCTCAAATCACTACCCAGGGCTTCTGACACCCACCTGCACGCGGGCACTGCCCAGGGAGTTGGAAGGGGGAGGGAGAGGAGGAGGAGATCAGAATGGCTGTGGGGCTTTGGCGGCTTAGAGAGTTTGGAGCCTGAGGGATTCAGCTTTGGAAGTTGCTTCCCAGACGCCCCGAGGCAGAGATCTGCATTGTTCCCGCACTTCTAGTCTTTGGTGACTTTGCCTGTGACCTGGTGCAGGCCAGGAGGGTGTGCGGGGAGAAAAGGAGAGGAGGAGGGAGAAGGAGAGGCTCCTTGGAGTCTCCTCAGGAGCTGGGGGAGGCCTTGCTCTGTGGAGGGAGCAGGGGCAGTGACCTGGGTGCTGCTGGGGTTGGGCCCCTCCCAGCTGCTCAGAGCCGCTTCCTGGGACTTTGGGATCCTAAATTTAGGCTCTTGTAGCTTTGTCCATTTTTTCTCCCCTGCACAGGCCTCCGGACCCTGGGTCCACTTATTTGCTTTCCTCCCTCCACCTTTTTTTCCCCCCTTTCCTTGGGGGGGGGGCTGCAGGTGGGGCAGGAAATGCTGGGAAAACAATTGAGAGGCAGCCCGGGGGCTGGTTCCGAGGGCTGGTCGTGGGCGGTCCTGCCCTCGCGGGCTCCGCCCGGTCTTCAGTGTGTGTCTGTCATTCTTTGGTTTCTTGTCTTCGGTCTAGTCTTATCTGTCTTCGATTTTTGTCTGTCAATTCCGGGCCCCCTGGGCGAGTGTCCTGTGGGGTGTGTCCTCCGGGCTCTCCCGGCCCCTGTGCTGCTCATTGGGCCGCTGTGGCCGCCGGCGCCTCTGGTTGGTGGCGCTGCTGGTGGGCGGAGCAGTGGCTCCTTCTTGGAGAACAACAGTGTTTCGGGCGGCCATGTTTCTGGCTGCTGGCACTTTCTTCGAGCTGCGCTGATTGTCCGGGTGGGCGCGCTTCTGGCTGCCGGCGATTGCGGGGGGCGGAGCACTGGCTCCTGCTCCTTGCGGACCGTGCAGTGTCTCAGGCTGTGGAGTCTTTGCTTCTGCCTGCCGGGCTTCTGGCTGCGGGCGCTTTCCTCAACCCCTGAGGATTGTCACGGGGGGGGGGGAGGGGGGGCGTTGCTTCTGGCTGCCGGCCCTTCGGGGGGCGGAGCTTCTGGTCTCTGGCTCCTGCAGATGCCAGTTCAGGAAGCCATTTCAGTTCTGCTTCTGGCTGTCCTTGTCCCCGCCATAGCCCTGGGCGCTGGTGAGTGGGGATCATTGGTCTGGGGGGCAGGAGCCTGGGCTGTTCCGGGGTCTGGGAGGGGTCCCCTGGGTGTCTTGGGGACCCTCTCAGGAGGGGTGTGGGCTTCGGGAGGTTTTTGAGGCGGAGGGTCAGGGGGGACTTGGCTGCTTGCACACCCCTCCTGATATATTGATATATATTTTTTGACGTATGGATGTTATTTAAGCAGTGAAGTTGTGTTCTGCTCTCCGGGCCATGCCCCGCCCTCCCAGGTTTTCTGACAGTCTCAGTTCTTTTCTGGTCCTGCATGTGGACCCCTCCTACTCCATCCCTCTCCCTCCTCCCCCTTTCTGGTCTCACCTGCTGCACCCCCCCTGCTGCTCCCCTCCCTGACACTCTCACCTTCCTGCCACCTTCCCTTTCTGTTTCCCCTCCTTCCCAGCTGCCCCTTTCCAGCAATCCCCCATCCGTGATGCCCCTTCCATGCTGTACCCCCTTTTTGCTGATCCTCCCTACTGCCCTCATCCCTGCTGCCCCCTTCCCTGCTGTCCCTCCTCTCTGTGTTCTGGGGTGTCGTCCTCTTCCTCACTCGTTTTTCTTCCTCCCTCCTGCACCATTGCCTGCCAGGAGCTTCACCTGATGGATCTTACCTCCCCCCCTCCCATTTTGCTAAGCCCTGCTTTCTGAGGGTGCTTTTTTCTAAACATTTATTTATTTATACAAGAACCAGGCCAGGGTTCTTGCACAGGGTACAGGCCAGATGTGCGGAGGATGAGAGGATCCACCAGAGACAGAGTGGGGACAGAACAGGCAGACTGACGAAATACACTGCTAAAAGGGAGCAACGGGAGAGACAGGAGAGGTCTGCTGCACCATGTAGGACCTTGCTATTCTGCCATGATCCAACCAGCGCTGCAGAGGCTACCGACAGCTTCTCAGCGCTGAGCTCAACCGCCTGCGCCACCAGGGGAGGCCCAGAGGGTGCTTTTTACCTCTGGTATCTCCCTCCATGCTAGTCCCCCCACATCCAGTAAAGCCTTGGAGCTCCGTATTTTGCCTTGACTGCAAGCACAGCCCCCCTGCACAGACCTGTCCTGTCCTCTGGCCTCAGCTCCCACCTCCAGCCAGTGCAGCTCCTGCTCCTGAGCCCTCAACACGGGCCCTTCCTCACCCCTCCTGTCCTCACCCCAAACCCTCCTTTCTGGTCAGCACCGCAACCCAGGCCCTGATCATCTCTGCACCCCAGTCCTGTCCTCAGCACCAGTCTCCCAGCTGCCTGTTTATCTTCCGGCATCCCGCCCTCCCCAGACCTGAGAGCTGCTCCTGATGCGGCTCCTCTACGGTCTTCACCCTCTTGGGTTCCTTGACCCCAGTGGGCTCTCACTCCTCACAACACAGATCCGCTACCCTATGGCAGCCTTCCCCCACACCCCCACCCCTGCCCTACTCCCCTCTGCCGCCTGATGGACACAGCTCTGTCTGTGGAGGGGCCTCATCACCACCTGCATCACCCCACACTGCAGCTCTCCCCTCCTGTGGCCTGGCCACCTGCTGGGCATTGAAGTTCTGCTCCCCAGGCCCCCCCTATCTAAACTCTCCCTGGGCCCACAGGCTGACTCCCAGTCCCTGCACCTGCCTCTCCCCCGGTCACAGACAGGTTCATCCACCTCCCCAACCTGTCCTTGAACCACAGCCCGGCCTGGCTCATGTGGCCTCCTGCCTCTCACCTCAGCTGTTCTGATCTCTGACCCCTGCCCTGGGCTTTCATGTCCCCTCCCTTCTCTCTGATAAGAACCCCAGTGCTCTTAGGTACCCAGTGCCCCTCTCTTGGCCTCTGACCCCAGTTTCCCTTCTCCATCGTTTTCATCCACTCTCACCCCTCTCCTTCCTTCCTTTCTTTTTTGAGATTTATTTACTTACATAGTTGCTAATTTTTGTACAGAATTTGATTTCCCTGCTCAGGTGCAGTCCCCTTGGTCCATCACCCTATCCCTGTGCTCTCCCTCCCCAGGCTGCCCCTCCTTGGCCCTCTCCTTCCTTCTTGCCTGGTGTCCTGTACTGCGAATCCTCATCCTGTCCCAGGAACACAGCCCTGTCTGCAGCCCCCAGGCCTCCAGGCCTCAGGACACGCAGCCTCGGGTGACTCTGATGCTCAGGTAGCTCCTACCTGCCTCACTGAGGATTTCTGCCCCCAGGACCCCACAGGCTTCAGTATGAGCTCACGGAGGCCCAGGATGCCTCGCTGTACTCACAATTTGTTGCCAAGGAATACTTGGACGATCAGCTCATCCTGCGCTATGACAGTGGGAATAGCAGGCCAGAGACCCCAGGCCTGCTGGCACGAGTTGTCCTGGGGGCTGAGCCGGGGGACACAGTGACCAGTGGCTTTGCAGAGGACAGGAGGGGCCTCCTGATGAAGCTGATAGTTATCAGGGAAAAGCAGAGCCAGAGTGAGGTGAGAGGGGCAAGCATGGGGGCCTTCCCAGGACAGTTAACGGCAGCCGGTGGGGCCTGTCTCTTTCCACTGGATTTGCAGTGGGGTGTTGAGAAGGGGGGTGTGTGGATTTCAGCACAGAGGTGATGTCTCTTCAGCCAGCACAGGGAGAGGTGGGGAGAGTGGGGCGGGGGTGGTGTGAGTTTCTCCCCTGGGGAGCAGGGGACACAGGACTGGGGAGTCACCCTGGGTCTGTGTTGGGGTAGGCTCCCATTCCCTCCAGGAGGTTCGGGGCTGTGAGATCCAGGAAGACACCACCACCAGGGCCTTCAGCGCTTCTTCTATAATGGGGAGCCCTTCCTCTTCTATAACGAGACGACCCATGAATGGGAAGCACCCCAGTCCTCGGTTCTTCCCTTGGCTATGGAAGTCAAGAATCCTGGGACACAGATAGGATTGGAAGCCAGAATTCCTGGGCCCTTGTGCGTGGTGACGTTTGTGGGAAACTGCAGAGATACCGGGAATCCTGGAAGGCCTTCACTAAGAGAATCGGTGAGACTCTGAGCACCCCATATCCCCCATTCTTTCACCCAGCTCTGCCCAAGGGGACCCTCCAGTACTTCAGGCTGCCTGAATGGCCTCAGGGGTGTATGTCATGAGATGCCTGCACATTTATGCCCCAGGGTGAAGACCCGAGGCGGGGAGGGCATGGACTCCAGGGCGCTGCAGGGCACTGAGCTGGAGTGTGGGGGTCAGGAAAGAGGGGGTGACTTTAGGCTGGACGTTAGCCCTGCTAGCTCCCAGCTTGTCAGTCCCTCCTTCTCCCCCCATGCAGGAGCCCTCCTCTCCCGTCCCCCTCCTCAGCTTCACCATGTGGGTTGGGCCATCCACCACCAGTCTGAGGAGCTGAGCCCCAGGGTGTATGTAGAACCACCTGAGGAAGACCCGGGCTCAGTGATGGAGGTGGGGAGGAGCAATCTGTCTTTCCTCTCTCCATCTCCTTACTAGGGAGCAGGGCTTGGCCTTGTGTTTCACTGACTCTTGCTTTCTTCCGGTGCCCCCAGCTGTGAATGCCACCTGCAGCCTGGCCTCGGAGGGCGTGGTCAATGTGACCTGCTGGGCCTCCGGCTTCTCTCCCGGAATATCTCACTGGTCTGGCTGCAGGAGGATGAGCCTCTGAACCAGACGCCCAGGCGCCTGGGGGTGTCCCGCGTGATGAGAACGGGACCTATTGGGCTTGGGTGGCCCTAAGGATTCCCCAAGGAGAGGAGCAGAGGGTCACCTGCTCCGTGGAAAACAACTGGAATCGCACTGTGACCTGTGGTGAGCCTGGGTGACCTGTGGGGTTGGACCCTGTAGGTCTAGGAGCCAGGATGGGGGTGGAGAGCAGGCCTTGGCTCTGGGTGCCCAGGTTAACATAAGACCTTTTCTAGGAAATGTGCAGGTGCATCAGGGTCCAAGGCCAGCTGTGTCCCGGGGTATTGCTGTTGCTGCCGCTTTCACAGTACTTATCGCTGCTGCCCTTCTTTATAACTTTTGGCTCAGGAAGACATCAGCTGGGGAGCGTCCCGGTGAGATACGGGGCTGTGTGTGGGGAGGGAGGGGCTCTTCTGCCTGTGACCAGAGTCTCATGTCTCCCACTTTGCAGCTAGGAGAGGGATGACTGGCCTCTGTAACAGGACTTGGAAGTGGGGTCCTTGTGACAGGTTTGGGGACCACCTCTGTGCCTTTAACCCTGCTCAGAGCCAGGGCTATGAGTGTGCAGCCCGGACCTCCCTCCTGGGAGGTGTATGGGGTTGGCAGAGGCCTTGTGCCCTGCTCAGTCTCCTCAGGCTTGTCCCTGCTGTCAGTCTCCCTAGGGCTTGTGGCTGTGTTGGGAACCATGGGCATGTTTGAGTGGGCCTGGGTGATCCTGGACTCAGGGTAACAAGCAATAAGAACATCAGTGACCTAGTGGGTGGAATAAACTCTGGGGAGAGTGGGGCTCTGAGCCTCACAGCGAGGGGCTCAGGTGAGCAAGTCTCTGGGTCTCCTGTTCATCTGCCTGACACCCCTTACTCTTGGGTCAGAATGTTGCTGCTTTTGTCATTGAGACTTGGTGCAAAAAGAATATGAAAGTCATGAGCTAATTTCCAAATTTCCTTCTTTGAACTTTGAAGTCCAAAGCAGATGCTTATGACTGTCATTGGCTAGCCTTAACGGGGCTTCCTCCAATGCCGGGTCTTGGGATGTGTATAAAGTGAACAGGAGTTATCTAGGAAGCTCCCTGTTTTGGAGGGTTCCAGAGGGAGGTGGGGGGTGGTGACACTGACAGTCCAGGGTCAAAGAGGACAGACCTAGCCTCAGGCTAGGGGTCTCCAGAGACCCTCACTGCACTGAGAAGCAGACCCCCTAAGGCTGTGAGCCAGTGCCTGGACAGGAGGGAGGGCCTGGCAGCCTCAGCCAGGCAGCAGCATGGGGTGGAGCTCAGACTCCAGGCACCAGGGCCAAGTGTAGCCTGATCCTGACAGGGCCGCGAGGGTCCCTGCAGGGCTGCCCTGTGTGAGGCGCTCCAGGGTCCATCAGCCACCTAGCAAGTCACCTGAGACTCCAATGGCCATGCAGTTAGCAGCTGCTGGTCAGAGCCAGGGCAGGAGCAGGCTGATCTACAGGGGAGGTCAGGGGTCTGGAGACTGGGGAGGGAGCAGGCAGTGGCCCTGGGGTGCAGGTGGCTATGAGGAGAGGAGGCTGGGAGCTGAGGAGAATAGCCCAAGCTCTCACTCTGTGGTGGTGCTGGGGGCAGGGACAGGTAATGATGTGGTGGAGTCAGGGGCAACCGAAGGGGAATCCCTGAAGGAACAGGAGGCAATATTCTGCAGCCAACTGAGCATTTACTGGTATCTCTTTCCCCAGGGCCCTTTAGTGGGGAAGACCTGAGCCAAGTGGTGACAATGGACCTTCACGGGCTCTCAGCCTCTCTTGTCATGGCCTGAGTCCAGGGACTCAACTGGGGACACTTAGGGTCTGCACATCTGGCCTGGACTCACTGCCTGCGCTCCTCTCACCAGCACTTTCTCTTGGTGCCTCCCTTTTCTCATCTGAAGTTAGATGACAGCATTCTCTGTCTCTGTCTTTCCTCTATATTTTCTGAGAAGTCCTACACCAGCTTTCTTTGTGCTCTGTCATTTTGTCTCTCTGTGCCGGTCATGTAATATATGTATATATAGTGTGTGTGTATATATATGTGTATATGTGTGTGTGTATATTTATGTACATACCTATAAATTTCATTTGTGCAGTATTTTACAATTTACATTATAAATTTTAAACATACATACCTGGTGTGTGTATTATTTCATGTGGCTGGGAAGGGATAGTATGAGGCTGTGGGGAGATGGAGAGGTAGATACAGCGCTAAAATTCCCCAGCTCCCGCTTCCCGGCTCCCAGTCCTGCCAGACTCACAGGAAAGCACAAAGGGCTGGAGAAGCTGGAATGGGGCGTCTGGGGCCAGTGCTCAGGGGCTGAGCCTGGGGGAATCTGCCCTGATGGTGGGAGCTCACGTGATGGAGCAGAGCTGATCTAGGGAGGAGACAGGGACACTGCATTGGGGTGACCTTGTGACAGGATAATCCCCAGGGTTCCTGCCCTCCACAACCCCAGAAGGAAGGGTAGGGTTGAGCAGGGAGGAGAAGGCTTCCTGGTGGTGTCATAAGGGGTTAAGCATCAGCACTATGAAGCTATCTGAAGCCACTGCAGTAGGAGTTCCATCCCCAGCCAGGGAGGTGATCCACATGGCTCAGCAGACCTCTCCTGTCATGCCAGCTGCTCCTCAGCAGTGTTTTTCAGTCAGTCTGCATGTTCTGTTCCCCAGTCTCTGATGAATCCTTTAACCCCACTACACCTCTGGTCTGCACTCCAGCTCTTTTATCCATAAATAAATTTTTAAGTAAAAAAAAAAAAAAATTCCAAAGACAAAAAATTAAGTGAAGTAAACAAAAAAAAAAAAACAAATAAAAAACTTGAAGAATCTCAACAGATTTTTCTTACCTTAAAAAGCTGTGGGGCCTACCCTGGTGGCGCAGGAGGTTGAGTGCAGCGCTGTGAAGCTGTCTGCAGCCTCTGCAGTGCAGGTTCCATCCTGGCCAGCAGGTGAGGGTCCACATGGTGCAGCAGACGGCTCCTGTCTCACCTGCTGCTCCCCTTAGCAGTGTATTTCATCAGTCTGCTTGTTCTGTTCCCAGCTCTGTCTCTGGTGAATCCTTTCACCTTCCCAGGAATCTGGCCTGTACCCCAGTTCTTGTATAAAAAAAAAAAAAAAAAAGCTGTGTAAGGCATTTATTGTTTCCTGAACAAAGATTACTCACTACCATTTTAATTCAGTATGTTTCCTTTTAACTGTGTTAACTTTCCATTACATATTTGTGTCTCATTAAAAGTAACATGAGACATGATAAATGTACAATTGACATTTTGTTTGGTGAAGGAAATCAATCAAATCTGGGTAATTAGAAAGCCCAAAGTGTAAGGCATTTTGTGGGGAGGGGCCTAATGCTTGCAGCTTCAGCAGCTGAGCGCCCTCTTGAGTCCACAGGTCCCAACAATAGAAAATTAATCACTTGGGTAGGTCTGGTATGAGGGCATTTGAATGAAGCCATTAGCCAAAATTTAGGGTCCTCATATGCGCCAATTGTGTTATTTCTATTTTTGCTTGTGCTTGTCAGACTGTGTTGCCCCACCTTTGCATGAGAGGCACACCCAGAGCTCTACAGGCCACTTCAGTGGCCCAAGAGCCAAGATGCAGTAGAACAAGGCCCAGAGGCGAATGTAGAGGAGTGGGGAGCACCTGAAGGTGGAGGAGGAGCCTGTGGGCCTGCAGGCCACCCAGGAGCTGGGAAAGGCACCCGGCGGCTCCCGCCCCTGGACCCTGCTTGGAGAGCTACCATTCCTGGGACCCCAAGGAAATCAAACACTGGCTCATTGGGGAGTGGGATTCTAGGATAGGCCAGGTGTGCTCTGCTTTATGCAGCCCCCTCTCTCCCTCAGCCCTCTTCTGATGTTAGAAACCAAAACAGGCTGACTCAGGTTGGTGGGTCTCAAATGCTGCACTGGCAACACTGATGGTCAGGAGCAAGCTAGCACCCTCTGGGGACACGTTTGAGGGATGAGTCATGGAGCAGGTTTGCAAGGCCAGACTGCTGCTCAGTGAGCAGCCCTCTTGCTTTTTATTAGCATGATTGATTATGTGACAATGGCAGGAGAAAGGGGCCCAGGGGAAACAAAGGGCATTCATCTTTAAAGGGACCAGGACTTCAAAGGGATCAAAGGGTAATCAATTTTATCAGGAACAGAGGAGGACATGTCAGCCACATGTACAGGGAGCACTTCCCAAGCAGGTACATGGTATAATTTTCAAGCTACTCCCACGTCTCGGTCCCTGTCCATATAATCAGTCAATGGTCACGGATGCTGTAGGGTAGGCCAAAGCACCAGGCTTTTCTGCCCTCCCGCCATTAGGATAGATGACGGAACCCCGCGGTCCTGAATGCATGCCTGATGGCGGGCACCTGGAATAGGGTGTGGGCATAGGTAGATGGGATTCACCTGGGCTAAGATTGGGCTTTTAAGGGCGGTGTCACGGGGATGCCAGCAGAAGCCGAGAAGCAAGAGAGCAGAGAAGCAGAGAGAACCCGAGAACGCCAGAAAGCCCAGAAAGAGTGAAGACTTGCTGGGGGCTGGGAGGCCTGCCAGACTTCTGGCCCCCCAGCATTCCTGCCTGCTGTGCACCTGGTAAATCCCAATAAAAACCTGAAAAGCCACTGAGGGCTCCAGGACTCCTCCTTTAGCCGGTCTGCTGGATCAGAAAACCTGTACTGTGTCCTGTCCTGCCTCTACAGATGGTTTTCTTAGAGTTGACACTCGCTTTCAAAATGGTAAGACTGGGGTAAAACTAGGCAAGTTGGAAATCTGAAACATTTGTGGAAATGGAGACTTTACTTCTTACCCAGACATGGATTTTATTGCTTTAAAATATCTTATGATTCTTGAGCCAGGAGTTGGGGTGACAGCTCAGGTCAGTCTCTTGTTTTTGCTTCTGGAAGAATTTAGATTCTACAATTAGGCAGAGCAAATTGTGGTCACGTGTTCAAAGATAGAGTCAACAAGTGTATAATTAGTGATTAAGTTTAAACCTTGAGGGACCTAAGGAGATTCTACATTCTCCCCAGCCCCCGGAAATGAACTCACTGCGCTGCTGGATGAGAGGGTCTCTCTGGGCCCAATGGAGTGGTTTTTGTTTTCTTTTTTAAAGATTTATTTATTTATTTATACAAGCACTGGGTACAGTCAGAAGTGCGGGAGGGTGAGAGAATTCACCAAAGTGGGGAAAAGAACAGGCAGACTGACGAAATACACTGCTAAAGGGAGCAGCGGGCAGCAGGAGAGGTCTGCACGCCATGTGGGACCCTCGCCGGCAGCCGGGTATTGAACTGGCGCCGCAGAAGCTGTGGGCAGCTTCGCAGCCCAGCGCTCAACTGCTGTGCCACCAGGGGAGGCCCCCAATGGAGTGGTTCTTTCTACCTCCAGCCCCTACAGAGTCTACAGCCAATGCAGTGATCTCATCTGAGCTAGGATTGTAGTTTTCTGATGTTAGTTTTATTTGAGCCATCACATGGTTAGCAATGGGACATGAGGTTTTGTTACACTGATATTCTGTGACGGAATCCGACATGTACCTGGTGGGCTTTGCTGTTCCTGCCTGGTCCCAGGGAAAGGGACTTGTCCTGGCCATGGTTCAGTGTCCCTTTGTGTAGAAGTGATCAGGAAATGTGGGGTCAGTGGCTCCCTAATTTCACCCTCCTCTCCAAAGCAGCCCTAAATTTGGGGGGTGGGCAGGAATCTCCACGACTACTCACCAGATATCATTGTCCCATCTCCTGACTTAAAGCCACATGTCACATAACACCAACTGTTGCAGGCAGTGCCAAGGTGACAGGGCTGGGGGAGGGGTGGGACCAGTCTGGGGTCTAAGGAGGGAGCCATGGGTGACCTGAAGGGGTTCTTTGTGGTCTGCCTTTCTTGTTTCCTGAAATCATACTCAGTCAAAGGTCTTTGAAGATGGCCAGGAAATTCAGGGGCAAGCTGGGAGAGGGGAAAGGTGAGGAAGTGGAGACATGGAATGGGGCTGGCAGCAGGTGGAAGGCATCCAGGACCAGGGGGGCTGCTGGAGCCAGGCCTCACTGTGGGCAAGTCCGCAGGCCCTGGAGGAATGGGGATAGTGGCAGGATCTCCTGAAGCCAGAGTCTGGTTCAAAACCAGAATTGTCTCTTGGTTTTGTTTGTTTTAATTTTTCCAGATGAATCTGGCAAACCCATCAGAGTGGAAGATGAGAAGTCCACTTTCCAAGCGTGTGTTTTACAGTTTCCTCCCAGTGTGGGGTCAGCAGTGGTACCTGCCAGGAGCAGCCCAGGTTATGGCCTCAGGCCTGCCCAGGCCCACGCTGTCCACTCCAAAGAAGAGGAGTGTGGGGCTTTGGGCCTTATTTTATCCTTCCTCCTTTCTGGGCCTTTTTTGTGTTTCCTCAGCTTCCTGCTGCTGCCCCAACCTTCACTGGAGCAGAGAGAACACAGCTGCCATTTGGGCCTGGAAGCCTCTTTGAGCCTCAGACTGGGGAGTGCAGTTTCTCTGTGCGCCACATGAGGGAGCTTTGCCCAGATGGGCTGGATGGTCTCAGAGACACTGCCATTGCCAAACATTCTGGAAACTTCCTTAGATCAGAAAGTCAGTGTCATTCTTCAGACTTGCTCTGAAATCCTTCAAGCTTTTGCAAGGGCAAATTGATCCTCAAGGAACACGATTTGGCCTGACTGTCTATAAGCCAAGGACAAAATGTGAAGGATTATTCAAAGAAAAAGGATCTAGTATTGAATTTAGTGAACATTTTGGTTTTTAAACAACTGTTGGAGTTTAGGGTACTAGCTTCATATCTTCCATCATAAATTGTCTCTGTCACTCCCTTGCAATGAAATCCAAATTTATATTAAGAGATAAAACACCACATTTCACATAGTGTAAGTCACCACGTTATCACTCCCTGGAGATATCACTGTCAAAACCCTGTGAATATTCTTCCAAGTTTTCTTCTTTAAAATACATATTGTGGGGCCTCCCCGGTGGCGCAGCGGTTGAGCGCTCGGTTGCGAAGCTGCCCGCAACCTCTGCGGTACCGGTTCGATCCCCGGCTGCTCCCCGGCCTCCGGAGGAGGGTCCCACATGGCGCGCAGACCTCTCCTGCGGCCCGCTGCTCCCCTCAGCAGTGT